ATTACGGCTCCCCGGTGATAATTTACGTGCTGGGGTATTTTTTTTATTTTTTGAAAAGCTGGGATACTTTTTTTATATATGGCAAAAGTTTGGGCATTTTTTTTATTCTCTCATCATAATAACTTTCGCACACAATTATCGTATCTTCAGGAAAATTAGATAATTTGTATCTGTGCTTCGCGAAAAAAATGAAGCAAATTTCTAAGACAGGAGGACATCGCATATTATTTTGCTGTCAAAACACTTACTTTTCAGCGTTGCACAACCTCACGAACCACCAGCGGTGGCCTCCGCAGAATTTTCAACAAGGTCCCAGTAATGAGCGACATTTTTAGCTTCCATTACTTTGCGCGCTGTGGCTGATGTCCGACATTCCTGAAATCGAAAATTGTTGAACGACTTGCGAGCCACCATACCCTGCCATACTAGCAAACATCCGTTGTTGGCCTTAGCTACATTTTCATCCTCGCTGCCGGATCCTTGCTCAGCCTCGCGCGCCCCGTTCCAGTCAATACGCCGCATCATAAGTTTTGTGTACTGCTTAATGGCCTTCTTGCCTCCTTCCGCCACAACCATATTAATATTGCTGTCTTTACAGATCAAAACACCGCCAGTAAGATGAAATTGCTGTGCGTTCACATCCACCTTGAATCGATGTTGCGGGTTTGACAGATCTGGGACCCTATTTATCAGAAAATGAGAAGGCTGCCGGCACGTGACGGGAAAATTAAAGTTAGAAAAGCTTACTTGAATACCGCCACATGAATGTCTCCTGCAGCGTCCTTTTTTATCTTTCGGAGCTTCTTTTCTCGGCGCTCCTCAGGTGTGAGTTTGCGCGCAATGTTACGCATTTCGTGATTCTTTTCGCGTTGTGCTATCTGTTCACGGACCTTGCGCTCGATGGCGGACGGATCTGCCACTGCTTGCTCGGATAGCACGCGCATCATATTAGAAAGTTTAACTTTTGGTTCAGGAGGCGGTAACAAGCCCAATGCAATTTTATCCTGTTTTTCCTTCTCACGGTCAGCGCGATTTTGCCGACGTATTTTTTTGCGCTCCTGCAAAGTATACGTTAGCCGTGGCTCTCGTCACTAGTAACGAATCACTGAGATAAACGTACCGAAGCAGTCAACATGAGGGGCACCGCCACGGGCGTATTATCATGTCTGACGATTAAATTCAGCCGTGCTGGGTGTTCGACGACATGTGCAGTACCGCAATATTTTAGTTTCATATCTGTGTAGGAGATAGAGATAGCTGAATTTCCCTTTCGAGTTTTTTCTTTGATAAATCCAAATTTGTCTAAAACCACTCGCTTGTCCCTGGGAAGAAACTCAATATCCCACCATTCTACATCAGGAGTAAGTAGCTCAGGTTTAGGCGGAACTTCAATGCTATCAATCGCCTTACTGCTGGTGCCTTCATTGACTGGAATTGATTCGGCCATTTCATCAATTGGCACAATTGCCTCTTTTTGATATCCTCGAGGATTGCGGCCTGATGTAAATCCAGCCATCATCTTTTTCGCATCACGCGCACGAATCTGCTCTGCTTGCTTCACATATATTCCTTGTACAGCAAATTTGAAGGTGTTGCGCGCACGTCTGAACTTACAATAAAAAAGAGCACGTTATCAGCGTCACTGAGCTTGACATTGGTACCACATGTTACTTACGTCTCTCGTTTCGTAACCTTGAGTCTCGGATCAAGGGCCTCAAATTTGTCTTCAATGTCTACAGCACGATGAGACAGATATGGATTTTGTTTCTTTGTGGCAGTATTGCTGCCTCTTGCACCTTCCTGATTAGCTATAAGCGTTGCTACTGGTGCCACCATTGGTTTTTCGGCAACTACATTTCCTTCAGCATCGATTTCGCGTCCCTGCTCGTCCAACAGCAAAGGTGCTGGCATGAAAGGACCACTACTAGCAGTATGGGCATTTTGTATGCCAGATGACGCTATAGAAATACCAGTAGAAGCTCCGGGTTTCCGCAGTAGCTCTTTAATATGGCTCATTTGGCTCTGCACCGACTTAATGATCTGATCAGTCCGTCGACGCTTCTCCTGCTCGAACCGACTCAATTCCTCTGAGTCAATTCGTGTTAATATCGCACTTGGTACAGCTGCTGCTGTCTTTTGTAACGCTGTTGCAGACGCTGGGCCAGGGATTGCGCGCGAAATCTTTGCTGCTGCAGCGCGTGCTAAAGCCGCTGGGTCAAATACAGGTGGCGCTTCCGATCCAACATCCGATTTATCCGTCGCTACTAAGGCAGGGGGGTCTGGAGCATCGCTAAACCTGCTCTTCCGCTTGCGCCGTGGCTGCTGCATTAGCGATGCGGAATTTCGTACCGGTATTGCACGAGTTGCAGGTGGAGAAAAGGGTAATTGCAGGCCGTTTGACAGTTCTTCTCGTGCTAATTAAGCATAAAGTTGATTGATAAGAACATGCTACTCGATAAGTTCTTTCCCTCTAGATTCATTTTTTCAAGGTTTTGCTATAAGCACCATACCGCCCAAATGATTCTTGTATGTAATCCCTTTCGGATTCGATTTAGTAGTATATTATAGTAGACATGTATCGATTTTCCAAGCTCACAAGGCCTGACTCTTTTTTCCCAACCGGGGTCCCCACAAAACGAAAATAAACGTGCACGGCTTAAGCTATTAGGAGCCGAATCTCTACCGCGTCACGAGTGACACGAATTAACGATGGCGACAATAAAGACATCGGAATTGAAACCTTGTTTATCCGAGGTTATGGATGAATTACAGAGCCGATTTCTTGTTAATTTGCCCGCGTCTGAATTGGTTTCGAGTGAACGCCTTTTTTTCCAAATCGAGCAGTGTTTTTGGTTCTACGAGGATTTTTATGCTGATCAGTACGCTCATTTGCAGCATGTCAAGTTAAACGATTTTGCTCGTAAATTGTTTGCGCATTGTCCTCTGTTGCGACCGCTTGCACATCGTTGCGACGAATTGTTTCAAGACTTTAAAGCGTATCAGCGACAGGTGCCAGTAGTGGGTTGTATTTTACTCAATTCAGCGCGTACGAAGCTTGTGCTCGTGCGCAACTGGAAAGGTACAAGCTGGACATTTCCACGTGGAAAAGTGAATGAAGGAGAGTCTGATATTGACTGTGCACGACGAGAAGTGCTTGAAGAGTGTGGCTATGACGTAGGAGACGGTCTTGCACCACAACAGTTTTTGGAATTTGTGGCAAACGATCAACGGATGCGCATGTATATGTGTACTAATGTACCGGAGGACTATGCTTTTGCACCACAGACACGTAAAGAGATCAGCACGATCAAGTGGTTTGCATTTGATGCTTTACCTAAGAAAACGTGGAGTGTCATGCCATTTATGGCAAGGCTTAAACGCTGGGTCAAAGCACAAAAGACGAAGAAAAAGAGTAGTCTTATTGCTAACACTAGCAGCATAGGCCGTGCAGCTTCTGTGCCACGACATCGTCCGCTGACGTTAATCACAAAAGGAAATACACAGCAGAACTTTGAAAGTGGTCAGAAGAAAAATCGATTGAACGAACGATCAGTCTCGACGCCTCACAATGACAGACCATCTTCTACTGGCTCGAGGAAAACGAACCGCGGACACTTTGGTACGGAATTTGACACAGCTACTTCGTACGATGGCTTGAATAAAGAAACTTTTGGCAATGCAAAGGAGGGTTTTAGCGTTGAAGAAATGTTTACTGTGAACGAGCGTTTGACGGGTCAAAAATTTGAATACGATGGCAACCCGCATGATTTTGGAAAGCCAACAGCTCCATTAAGCACAACGCAAATGACAACGACTTTCTTAAAGACGAAGGGTTCAACACCGGTGCAGATACTTGTTCGACCTTCTTCGGCTCCACTTAATCGTGTGGCTGAGGAAAAATGTCCATTGTCTAGTCCGCCACGAAATGCAAGGTCGACACCTTTTGGATCTTTTAAATTTGATGCTGTGGATATTATGGCCGTCGTGACGTAATCTGAAATTGGCGTTGACAGCGATAACGAAGGAGAGGTCATTGCCACAAGCAGGAGAATAGCTGTTAAGGACTGGACGATTGCAACTAATTGTCTCCCTTGCTTTCGTTTGCCAGGAGCGAAAGTTTCATCAGACTGGTCACGGCCCTCTCTGCTTTTGGTTGAATCAGTCTTTTGACTAAGCTGTCATTCCATGATTTGCATATTGTTTTCTAGCTTTGTATAATAGGGAAGCTGCAGGTTGCTCTGTGCTCGCAGTGAGTACACGAGAAATTAGCAGTCAGGTGTTTTTAAACACCACTCACTCTGAAGAGACGAACACAAAGTTGCTGATGCAACGAAAGGAGAGATAGTGCAAGTCGACTTTTGCTGGCAAAATGGTGAATATTGTTGTGTAAAAGAAAGATGACGCCCACATGAAGGGAGATTTCGCACCAGTGACTAGGCTTGAAAGATTTTCAATTTATTACACGCAGCCACCCTTCTGCTGATTATCAAGTGCCAATCAACTTTACTTATTCTCCAGGAGCTGTAGTGTACGAAATCCAGCACACGAGAATGAGTTGAAGGCATGATGCACTGAGAAATAAGAGATCTCAGTTAAGTTAAAATCCACAAGATGTACTGACGCAATGAAAACTTACCCAAAAAGTAGATAATTTCGGAAGAGGCGATTTTCAGGAGTTGGTTCCGCTACGCTTCCCTTCATGCAATTCAGCTACAGTACGATATCAGCAGAGTCAGATGCGAATTGGCGCGGCTAAGCTCATATTAAATGACCTACAGTGAAATATGACACTGCAACACCAGTGTATAGGAGTGACACGTAATAGGCGATTGAGCCGAGTAGCTGATAAACAACGGCATTGATCACTAACGGAATATATTTGTAGCCAGAAAAGGAGACCAAGTCGAGAAACGAGATTGAGCTATTTAGCACATAGAGGCATGCGGCCAGCACACCAATTTCGATCAACTGCATCACAAGGCAGTAACTGGCATCTTTAGTAATCACATCTGGGCTAAATCTGTGATAAATTGGTATCGTGAGACAATCAAATCAGCAAGTCTTGAAATGCACAAAGTTTCGCAACTTACTGGTTCGAAGTGCCTTTAGAGTATCCCACTATCAAAATGTAGGTGAGAAAGCCCATCAGCGGTATGTAAAGATCAGGGGCATTACTATCACGAGTAGGAGGAGCATATTGCATCTATGAAGAAGGATTGCAACGTCAATATAAATCCCGAAATAATCGCAACAACTCATTTGATTTACAAATTTCATATACGTACGGGCTTGGAATCGTCTTGTTCGCCGTTGCCAAAGCGACGCCAGGTTTTGTGACGGAATGGAAGCAGTAACATCTACGCATGAGATCCAGTGTATAAGCTTCAATGAACCTTAATCAACAGCACAAATAGATTGCACCTTGAGGCGGCTCTTGACGTAAGAATTATTTACAGTGAAATAGTACTTCAAATTCCCCCAAACACCGTATGCACCAGGGAGATACATTTCTGATTGCTTTTGCAAGAAATCTTGCGCACTGTTCATAGCCAACCCTGCCATCGGATTGCTACAGCCACAAGACAAATACCATTTGGATTATCTAACTACAAATATTCACAAAGTAAGGCACACGAACCTAGAGAATTGATCGATAAAGTCTGGCTGCTGACGGTGGTGCATGTGCGCTCGTGGATTACTATTCGGTGGGGTTTGCAGCGGCACATTTGACACATAGTCACCAAAGTTATTCTGGTGATGGGGTTGAAAATTCGCGGGTGTTTGTTGATATTGCGGCTGGGCCAGAGGTACCGCGTTCATCCCTGATTGATGAAACTAAATAAAGTCGATGAGCTTCAGTCGCATTTTTTTCCTGCTCTTTACCTACATCTTGGGGATAGGACGGTGGTGCTTGTGGATTAAGATATCCGTCTGTTCCAGGTGTCGTCGTAGCAGTCGGCTTCTGATAAAATTGATGCGCGGGTCCGCGCTGCGGCATGCGCTGTTGGCCCATACCTGATTGCGCCGGAAATTGCGGTGCTGCTGGCGCTGCGTAGTGCTGCGTTGGTCGCTGATGGTCATTAGGGTTATAAAATGATCCTAAACGTTCAGGGAAAATCATTAAGAGCCATCAGCTTGAAGATATGAGTACAGATGCGTAGAAGAGCAACGGTGTACCAGGTTGAGCCATATTGATCGAAGGTATTAGTATTTTAGAATGGATTACACTCACACAACGTGGCTGTTGATCGTGTGACGCACGCAAATTATCTGTAAGGTTGTTCGGAAGTGTGACACACAATTTGGGTGGTATGAATGTTACTGAGCATCGTTGAAGACGTTGAAAGAATGCTACGTGGCATGAAAATTTATTTTTGGAGAGGTGTGCGCAGTAGGTAGTATGTTTATGAGAACTAGAAGTAAATTAATTACGACAGGTTGAGAAAGAGCTATCAATGATTCGGTAAAGTCATGTGACATCATTTTATATGATACTTCACTACACGATCACATCAACTTTTATGCAGCTAGTGCAATTTCGCACTATGTCATAGCTTGGTGAGTTTGCGATGGTCTACTGTCTTGGTCACAAAGCCCGCGAGCTTGAGCTCGGACTGAATGTAGTGTGGCTCTAGGATCCGCAAAATTCTCCACACATCTGAGGATCACATAATTATGCACTGCTTAAGTGACGATGCCTCGCCGTCTTTCATAGGCTTAGCTAGTGCGCTGAGATGCGGAGCCGGAGCCAATTACACTTCAATCAGCGGATCTTTAATTTTAAAAGCTGTCGTATGCTGCGACGAATTCAGCTTCAATCGTAAAGAGGAAGAACACCACTTTGGTCCTATGCCGATCACCACACAGGTATCCGTCAAGTAGCATCATCGCTCGAGTTAGTGACTTCCTGCTGCTCTTTTCATCCCGTCGTTGTAGATGCAACGGGGTTGCCGTGCACCTCACACAATAAATTTTACCGCAACGAGTCTGTTTTAAAAACAGCACAAAGAACGGGTTTGTATCCCGAGAGCCTCCTCAGTAATCAGGTACTTAATTGGCTTCCAAAAGTAGCATGTATTTTGAGCTGACTTGGGTCAAATACTACATCCATTATATACTATCCGCAAAAAAATCCTACAAACAGCATAGCACAAGGCTTGCAATTCACGTATGGACTTCTCCATTTCAAAGTGCCATCACCATCATATGTATCCGTACTTGTCGTAATGATTTATCATAGAGACTAACAGAGGCAAAATTGTAAGGTATACATACAACGTTATACGGAAGGTCCCCTGTTTTCCCCTTCCCAACCAAAATGTGCATTAAATTGGAATACGCTCTCTTCGTACTTCTAAACACGCGGAAAGTAAGGCGCTCCACGAGCACCCACTGCACTTGGAGTTTAACTCCATCACTTGCACCTTACCGTCTTGATGAGCATGAAAGCGCTGCTCACGTGGTTCAATGGGCTCCTAAGAAAATGGATTGGCCTCTGTGGCCGACGTTCTAAAGGCCGTTATCGAGGAGACGGCTAGGTGTTCTTGATGACACGGTCATTGTGATTTCTGAGTACCGCCCTGGCGCATTCAACTTCACCAAGAAACTAGCACCAATGCCGTTCGACAAGAAAAGACTTTAATAACTACTCACCTATTCTTTGCATGATCTGCGCACTTCTCACGCATTGTGTGGTGCAAATTGCATGACATTCGTCGTGTAGCTACTATCAGCTTGTGAGCACTAAGTAGGGCTTGCCTTGGTGAACGGTGCTTGCTTGTCTGCAAGCACAATGCTGCAATGTCTTCTGCAGCCTCGATCAAGTCATTATTATTTAACCTGTCAATAGGTGCCGCCACGCTGCGGTGGACTTCTTACACGCCAATGCGATTAGAAATTTTGCTCAGCAAGAAAAAACGAGCACTCGAAATGTCATCCGCTCGTAACACTATAACCGCAGTGCCGAGCGTAGCAGTAGTTGAGTAAAACCGCTTCACAAACAACCACTGCGCTTAATGTCAAGTTCCACCCGATGCACTTCATCGTGCATGTTTTTCGTGGCGTACCTGCACTCGGATTTTCTTTCGTGTATCATATCTCATTGCTCAAACAGACCCGAAAAAATTATTACCCGTCCTTACCAGCCACACAAAAACTGATAGCAGCGAAACAAATCTTCTTGATCGAATGGTCAGCAACGATCTCTTCGTCGAAATTACTGAACACATTTTGGAGGACCAATAATAAAGCACATATTGACGAATAGTCAATGCTGGTTCAGAACAGGAACGCCGATCAAAGGTGCTGCCGCGAGTGGCGAAAGATCAACCCATTGAAACGTTTCACACTCATGCACATATGTGCTCACATACTTACAAATGTTGAGCAAGCAATACAATACGCTCAGCGTAAAGTACTTCATTTTTCTTCTGAGGTGAAAAAACGCGGGACATCTCGATGTAAGCCATACCCATCCGGAGGGCTTCCGTCAGAATTTCATCTATCTATCATTCGGAATGGGTCAGACGTCTTTTGGCAATGAGATACTTGGCACTGAACAGTTTTAATTCTCCTTGAAAGTAGACACGATTTTTATTGCGTCCACCTCTGCTAGGAAACAAAAAAGCTATTGGCGCGGGCACTAAACTGAGACGGTTAACGTGCGGAGTATCGGAGTATCCGAGCTGTCGAGCACCGAGAATGTATCGGACAAGAGCAAACGCGGGCTGAACGTGAAGTGGCACGTAACCCACTAATCGCTGCTCAAGTATCAGAGCAGTCGCTGCATGCCATGGTCGGCCAAGGACAGAGGTATCGAGGTTGAGGCCCCAGTGGTGCACATGGAGTGGCACGTAACCCACTGAGCAATGCTCAACTATCTATGAATTAGCTGCATGCCACGAGTGGCATGATCGGATAAGGTCAGGTAGAGACCCCAGCGATGCACGTGGATTGGCACAATATCCACTGGATGAAGACTGCGGAGCTTGCAGCTGTTGTAGGATGTTGTACATAACTTCAGGGCTCCGGTGGCGCAGGAAGTGGGCTAACACTAGACAACGCTGGATGCCTGTTCATACTGGTCTCACCGAGACGTAACATCTCTGTGAGGGAGCGACAGCAACGCCATATGCTCGCTGCAAGACGCAGGGCGTTCATTCTAACCCGGGATGAGTCTACTGTAGTCAGTAGCGCAGCTATACACTGACGTCAACGGTATGACGGGAGAGAAAGACGGCGACGTTAGCCTCGAGGCGTGAAATGGACGGTTTCAAAGAATCAAAAGAACCTACGCAAGTGGCTTGGCCTCGCCAACTACTTGCACAAGTATAGCGATAATCATGCAGAAATGACACGGCAATTGTTGGTTCTCTTTAAAAGGGATGCGGAATGATGCTGGGACACCGAGCATCGGGAGGCTTTTGACGGGGTCAAATTGAGCCCCCTTCATACACCAATACTGACGTTGTCAAACCCCGATCGACCTTTAGTGTCTGTTGTGCCGCTTCGGACTTTGCCATCGGCTGTGCACTGCAACAAGCAGACGCCGAGGGGTGAGATTGGGTGATCGCGTTCGAACCTTGCCAGCTCAAGGCTGCGGAGAAGAACTTCCCAGTCCACGACAAGTGATTACCTGCGAAGAAGTATGCACTTGTCAAGTTCAGGGTGCACCCGCTCGGATCCAAGCCGTTTGTGATCTACACAGATCACACGCACTACGTACTGCGACACAGTTGCCTCACCTCTCGCAGAGGATGGCCATGTGGCTCTTCTTCGCAGAATATAACTTCGAGGTAAAGTATAAGCCATGAAAGTAAATTGCTTTGGCTAATTCGTTGTCACATAGACCAAATTAGTTACGTCGCGGCATGACAAGCTCAATCGCTAGTGACGGATTTGCGCCGCGTACGCGGGTGATGATATATGCGAAGCGCTGCTACATGCTCTAGGGAGCAAGGAGTTTAAAAACTCGGACAAGAAGTTGTCGTCGCGACTGCATGCACGGTTGCACCGGTATTCATTGAATAATGACTTTGCTTTATTATAGCACCGACTCGATGGATACGCCACATATTGTGGTTTTTTACGATGAGGAAAATAAAAGCCGTATCTTATATGAGGCCCACGACACCCCCGCTCAGAGGGCATTTTGGTCGTAATAAGAACTACAGCTCTATGAGTTGCCACTACTGGTGTCCCAAGCTGTACAAATGGACGAGCACACATGTGCGCACGTGTGAGACGTGTCAAATGGTGAAACTCCCTTCGAATGCGGCGGCGACGCTGGCCAATTCATCAGTTCTCTCCGGGTGTTGGCAGTCCATGAGTATGGACCTTGTGTTTGGCCTGTAGAAGGACTCGGCGGGCAACACGGGTGTCGTGATCTCTGTCGACCGTTTGAGCAAGATGGCTGGTGCCGGACACCATCGACGGTGTCAGTACAGCGACACTGTTGGTGGATCGTGTCTTTCGACAACAGGGACTCTCGGAGTCCATTGTCTCTGACAGAGACCAATGTTTTACTGGGAAGTTTTGGTTTACAATCTTGAGGGTGCTGAGCACCATGTTGACTTTGTCAAAACGGACCTTGCGCAGACCGATGATCAAACTGAGCGCGCGAATCGCTTCGTTTGAATTCTTCTCTCGCAGTGTCTGCGCTGAGACGCCAAGGCGCTGGAGCGCCATGCTGCCACTCGTAGAGCTCGCTCTGAACAATGCAGTGTATTTGTCTACCGGCTACTTGCCGTTCTACGCGAACGAGCTCGCTCGCGTCCCGCAAGCGCCGCCATCCCATGACGCAGGGCTTGTTGGTGAAGGAATGGCCGAGCGGCTCGCTGATGTCAGCCCTTTCACTGTATGTAACGAAGTCGATGAAGTCCTATCATTGGACCGAGTGTCTTACGACACGTTTGCGATGCGATGGCTGAAAGACAAGACATGCAGACAGAATATACAGACGGAAAAAGCAGAAGAGATGTTGAAAACTTTGAGATCGGAGATCTGGTTTGAGTCAATACTAAAAAAATTCCTACACATGCAGTTTCTGCTTTTCTTGAGACGAAGCTCCGTCCACGTATATCGGACCTTTAGACGTCGTGTCCAAGTGTATAACGGGGTAACACGTACCCTGGTATGAAGGGGTGGGTCACACCATCTTGTGTGACCATACAATGGTGTGACTATACCTTAACAAGAAGTAACTATGTGGCTGGACTGCCAGCAGTTACACCTTTCAATTTGGTTTTACTGTCTGATTTGGAAAACCTATAGATTTAGATATTGGCGGCTTTGCCGCGATAAAACCAAGAAATACAGTTTACATTCTAAACGGGTAAGTTCATTTGCCTTAGGTTAAGGTTGTGGTTTATTTTAAAGTTAGCGGATTGTGATCCTCTACACTGGTACTGATTCTAAGTATATACCCTAGGTCACCGACTTTAGCTAAGCTTCCTCTAAGCGAAAGATCTGAGGCAGCCCCGCTGCAATGCACCTCAATAACCTTTTCGCCACCGAAGAGAAATATGCATTTGGTGCAAAAACGATCTTCCTTATGGGCTGTCTTATTGGATTGCATGGTATACGGACAAATCCCGCAGAAATAAAGGAAATTTTGAACTACTCAGTGTCGCTGTATCAAATAGACTTGAGAAAGTAAATCATCCCTTGCATAAGTAGTGTGCGACTTATTCCGACATTTCGCGATACCTAAAATAAAATAAGTGAGGCGGATTGTCTTCCTCACCTAGGAAGCGGGCGTGTAAGGGCTCCAACGCGGCGCGGCGAGCATTACTCGGCGCACTAGAATCGGCAAAATTTGTTGATGTCTCTGCGTTCGCAGACGTTGAACGCAACACATTCGTCTATGAGAGCGAAATGTAGAAAATTCATCTTTTTCAGCTAAAAGCCCTGCCCTATGACGCTCGGTGTGAGTGGAATTGTCTGGTTTGGTTCTAGAGATTCGCTACGACCGTTTGGATCGGGACGCGCTTGGGTCATTTCGTCAAGAATGACCTTGAGATTGTCAGCCGCGCCGATCGCGCCTTTTTTAGAGGACTGTCGAAACGTATGAAGCATGTACAAGTGGTGAATTATAAATCAAGAACAGTGGGTGTTTGTTGATCGCTTATGTTTCAACTGGACATGAATGTGAACCCCAGCGTGAGTGTAGCGGGGTATGTTATGTACTTTGTACTAACTGTGTACGCACAAATTCCACTTTTTGTGCATTTGTGTAAAATAAAATTTTGTGCAATGACAAATGCACATGACACTTCCGAGTAATTGTGCAAAACGTAGAGGTGCGGGAACTAATGAGAACAACGTGACAGAGGTAGAGGCATTTACTTCCGATGTTGTCTCTCCTTTTCTTAATCTCATTTAATCCCATCCAAATGCCTGCTCTGTAGCCTCAAGCTCGATTCGATATTTCAGTCTATTTTTTTTTCAAATGATAACACTTTTACACAAACCTTTTCACGCCACTCTCAAAAACATCAATTAACGCCTCCATAATCAACTGCAGCACATATGTACATTTGATTTCGAAATGGGTACAATGGATCACTCATATGCTAAACACGTTTCCAAAAACTGTCCCCATAATTGCGGTAGATGTTTCCGTACTTCTTTTTTCCACTTTGCCATGTCATATGCTTATTTCTTGGGTACTCTGAATATTTGCGAGTACATTCTGTTGTTGACTCTATTCAAAGGACAATACCAAAATGATATTTCCTTTTTTATCGACTTTTTCTGAAAGTAAATGCAAATTTCAGCTGTAGAAAATAATATCTAGCCGAGTGGATCGTACACTCCTGTGTACTATATGCAACAGTATAATCTTCGGACACTGTATCGGGATAGGATGAAAGCTTTCTTCGTCACGTTTTGACAAATCAGCAAATAAAATGACGAGATCTGTTTTTGTCGTTATTTGTTGCTCGCGCCTATCGTGAGCGTATTATACAGCAAGGCTTGGCGATGAGACACTAGGCTTACATCAATAATTGCCACAAACGGGTACCACACGCGCACAAAGTCGCGGCGATACCAGATCCTGGCAAAACACGTAAACAGTTTATGTCTTGCATTGTCAAATGTTTCTCATCATTTCCTTTCATATTTAATAATTAAGTGTAACAATTATTAATGCGTCATTGCATCAAGTGCATACGCTCTAACTCTGGAGCTGTTGTAACCGTCGCGCCACAACACTACAAGCACCCTGTCGATTTGAAACCGCCTGTTTTTGTTCTCGCACGCATTTTACTGACGTGTTGACAAAAAATATATCACCATGTACCCTTATACAATAATTGTACTGATAGTTAAGAAATTGCAGCATGAAACCCGAATTTTATTTGGTTACAAGTACTACTCAACTGTGCAATTATTGTCTACGTCTTCATAGCGCTTAGAATCTTACCCATCTTCAGTTCATAATGCTTGATCACCAGCAACTATGCACAATTTGAGTTGATGTTACGTCGGCCCTTTACTCGTTTATATTGCTATATCACAATCAGCTGTAGATCCTGCATGTAAAGCAAAAAAGGTTGTTCAATGTTTTATAGAAGTCACACATCATCGCTTGCACTAGAAATAGGCTGTGAAAGATTGCAAGCCGTGCCAGATGGATAACACTGCTCTGCGCTTGTGCATTAAGAATCCTATCCCTGTGCAGCGCAAAGCAAGCGCGAGTCGCAGTTTGCTCTCGGAAGTCTGTCGCTTAGAGTAATCTGCCTTTTCCGAGTAGAGTACAAAGGCTAGTAGTACATAGGCCATCGCAAAAGCAAAGAATTGCCAATGTTCCATGTATTGTTCTGTCGCATTTTTTGCTTCACATTTAGTATATCGTTCTCGAGGACAGCACGGAAGATGCCAAGCCCTCACGTCTCCTATGAACAGCAGCAAAGCATCAACCCAGAATAAGGTCGTCAGTCACTCGTTTCTGTTCCATGAATTTTTATACTCTGCCCTTAATGATCTTGATTTTTGTAAGAAGCCAACAGATAAGGCAGATGGGACAAGGGTAAAAGCCACGTCTTTTGTAGTCCGTCGTCGATCCCTGATACAATTCACGGATGGCGACGGTCGCTTCTACCTCAAGGTTCAGCTCTGGTGAGAAATTCATTAACTGTCCACTCGCGGATCGAGCGCCCGATCGACCAATTCGTAGCAACGTCACAACGCAATTTCGCCTCGGCCTTGTAGTCAATATCGTGGCCTTTTATTACCTGCAATCCACCTCTTTGTCTCGATACTGGCCACCTCTCACTTCTCTGAACGTGTGCACCGAGTTACTCACTGCTCTTCGAACTTCCAGCGTAGCTTGGTTTTCGACCACCTCACGCACAATTCAATAGACTTCAATCCCCACACGTGACTCAACACACAATGCACATGACTGACATGGACCCGATTGAAACCTCAAGCTACGGCAGTCCCAATCGCATGCATGTTCTTGCTAATGGGGATATCGTAGATTGTGGACGTCTCCCGCAAACAGCGCGCAATAATCTCTACAAGACTGAGCTTTGTAAACACTTTGTGGATAGCGGCAGTTGTCGCTATGGGTCCAAGTGCCAATTCGCTCACGGCGAGGACGAGCTGCGTGGCGTGCTCCGACACCCAAAATACAAGACTACGCGTTGCAAGGCTTTTTTGTCTACGGGTAGATGCATATACGGATCGCGCTGTCGTTTCATTCACACGCGTCATCCGGGTGACGAGGACCAGCGGTTTGCTAACTACCGCAACAGTGACATGTCCAGTACCGCTAGCGAGTCGGACGACTTGGAGACACAATCCAAGGACTTATTGGTGAATCCGTACGGCAACGCTTTGGAACCTATTGACTTGTCATTGCCTTTTGGTGGATTCAATCAGCACATGTCATTGGCTCCTTTAACTGGGGTGTCGCCCCCTAAGCCAGAATTCGACTCGTATCTGAGTCGCGGCCCGTTCTTCGACTATTCGTTCGAAAGTAGCGACTTAGGCAGTTTTGATTTATCAAGGAGCAGCATAAGTAGCTGCAGTGGCGAGACGTTAAATGCGTTGTCACCTCGCTCTTCAAGTAGCACGGAGTCTGTGGCATCCAGATTCTCGCGTTTGACAATCTTTCAACGTATTTGCCGTGAAGATGATTAAAGGGGTTAAGTCGTACAAGTCATGTCATCAGCTACCTTAACTCTTGGTTAGCAACCTAATAATTTATCAGACGACCCCACATCAAATCGAGAGTCAAGTGGCGTGGCGACACAAGTAACTTGACCATTATTGCTGGCTGGCTACGAGCGCCTTCAACTATAACCGCGTCAGTGGATTGACTGCAGTCTCAAAGCCGTTTTCACGCCTCCAGCTTGTAGCATTTTACAAAAGAAATTTTCTTATTGTCATAAATTCAATAGTGTACATCTATATGCTTAAATAACTTGACGACTTAATCATTGTATCTTCCGTCTGCAATGATTGGATAATACTTCTAAAGCACAGTTCTGTGTAATGAAATAGTAAGTAGAAGAGCACGATGCAAGAACACCAAAGAATCCGCGACGTTCGCCAGTCTCGCATTCATTAATAAAAGGAGGCTGATTAAAGGAATGCTGACTGAAGCACTTGTTGTCACGTGGATCAACATGTGTGCGATCATGGTGCGTTCGTTCTGTTGCTCAGTGGTGACTGCATCAAATAATTTTGTCGCTGCTTTGACACGTTTCATTAGCTGTACTTAGATCCGCAGCTCTGGATCGTTGTGATTTCCTCGTTGGTACGACAAAGTGAGCGAACTGTATGGCGAGTTTATACACTAAGAACCTTTGTCATTTGATTGATGAGGCTTTCGCGACAATCCGTGTCTTGATTCTTCCGATAGGATTGGCCAATTTCAAAACTTTTGCAGCAATGTCGACATTTGGCAAGCTACTATTTAGCAACACATTGGTGTCAATGCTGCACTCAATGCTATCTTCATTACTTTCAATAATTGCTCTGCTCTCGTCACACTCGCTTAATGGCAACTACGTCAATTCTGCCACGATTGAAGAATTTTTGGCTACCTCGGTCTCTACTGGTAATATTTTGTTTGGCTTCTGTGACCTAAAGCACTGATCCAACAGTAATCCATCACATGATATATACATGTTATCTACTCAGGCTATTTTGCTCATGACTTGTGGGACTATGTGCACAATGGACTGTATGTCAAGTCCCCTGGAATTATCTTGCATCACGTAGTTGTGCTCATCTGCTACACTTCCGCCTTAACGAAGACCGTGGGTGTGCCATTGCTATCACTTGCATTATTGTGTGAATTACACTCAATTTTCATGCATGCTCGAAAACTCCTGACAATGAGTAACTACTCGGTACAGCAATCTCAATTACTACGATGGGTCTGGTGTATGCAGTGGATTACATTCATTGTCGCCAGAGTCATACCTCACACCATTGTCACTTTTCTGACTTATCAATCGAGAGACTTTTTCCACCAACAGGTACGATGCAACTGCATAAAAGTCACATGTTTTGAAATCTGGTTTTGTGTAGCTTCATTTCGTGATTGCGTTTGGCGGAATGGTTTTTATCAATTTGCTAAATCTCAAGGTAACATCTTGATCAGCACGAACTCAATTATAAATTCTACTCATTTATGCTACTATTTAATGACTACCTACAGCTTTTCTACGACGTACGCAAAGCATGGCTAAAGGACTTCGCGCCACCTGTGACATCTTCGCTGCTTGCAAAAGCACTCTGATTCACTTTACAGTTTTGGTACTAACATTTTGGAAAATAGAACAGTTTTTTATAATGTGCCAAAATTAAATTTTCGATATGCATTTTCTCTGAAAAGTTGCATAGAATACATCAACAATATCGAATATTTTGCTAATCCTCAGACTGTGAATTGATCTTATAGAAAACGCACTGACTCAACTAACAGACAATGGTCAGTCACAATGTTCGAAATGTCTACAGTGTAGACTCTACACGCAAAAAAAGACATACTTTCGTTACTTATTAAATTTGGCAACGATGTGGCAAATCACGAGGGATGTAGCACAGCTAAATGAAATATGAAAAATTACAACGCTATTCACATTGAAGTTTCTGGCCTGATGTGTCCACACCATATGTTGTGAGCAAAGAAATTGTGAAAGACGCACGGCATCATGACTATGAAAGGCGCTCAGACGGACATCGAGTGGTTCTCACCTGAGGAAGTGGCTGCTGCTCGTGAAGAATATCTACAGGAGCAGGAAAAAGAGCAGCCGTCGCCTCAGGTAGCGTAAAATGAAGCCAATTTTTTAGGAATTCTCATTCAAGAAGCTGCCTACATTACTATGATTTTTTTCACTGATGGAGGTCAAACTACGGTACGCTGTTGCTTTGGCAAAAAGTCGAAAACGCGACGACAAACATCGTGCGATTGGATTACTGGAAGGTACCGAATCGTGTAGTTGTCAGTAAAGAAACATGATAAATTGTAGTTTTGTGATCAGATCTTTTGGAGCAGAGCTACGCTCCTAAGGAGAGTTTGTACTGGATCGCACTTACTCTATGTGGTTTGGGAGACTATCGTGCTAGTCGCAGCTATTGCGAGCGTTTGCTCCGCATGGAGCCGTCACATATGAAGGCACAATTGTTGCATAAGAGGATTAAGGAGGTCGTAGCAAAAGGTATATTTTTGATTCGTACTGGTATTAGTGCCAATTAACTTGTATGTTTTAAGTAGAAGACGGAGTAGTAAGCGTGGGTATCGTTGGGGCTGTGGTTGTCGCTGGATTGGCACTTAAGTTCTTGCTTAAGAGATAAGATGTGAATTTATAATGGCAGATTGATTCATTGATGTGATTCTGTACAGTTTTCATTGCAGACAACTCAACAATTTATGAGATAAATATGTTTTGGAGAATCTCTTCATCTCTTATCAATTTTGTCATACACAGCTGATAAACAATTTCGTTTCTATTCCTATTGTTGTCGAATGTCTATACACACGTGAATTTCATAATTCGATTATGTCTCATCACAGCTGAGAAAGAGCCATCTGCTCATCGCTATTGAGTTTTGCCCACGCGGCCTGCACAACTGAACTAGGTAATTGCGACTGTAGCTTGGCCAAGAGCTCACGAAGCTGAAGTCTAGAATCCTTTGAAATCGTTAACACCTCATCATCATTCGCGGCATCTTCTGATTCCGACAGGTCGTACACTACGCAAGCGACACAAATACACGAAAAGGTTACAAGACGCGTTCAAATTCCAAAACAGAAGTACTTACAGAGAGCCGAGGCGAAAACTTTAAGGATCTGAGGAAGATTGGAGAACTCAGCACCAAGCACGTGGGTATTACCGCTATTCACGAGTGAAATGAGACGAGAATGTACGTCTTGAGCTTCAAGAACATCAGTGCGAAGTGGTAGCCATGTAAGCCACAAAGTCCACATTTTGGCTGCATCCACGGCACTTCCGCGAGCTAGAATAATCTTGGCTACAGCACTGATGGCATTGTCTCGAGCAGCGCAAACTTCATCGTCATCCGCGTTGGCTGAGACATTAATCACGTGTACTAATTTCTCAAGTGCGTTCTGGCAGAATGGATCAAAGGCGCCTCCACACTTTTCTGCACTGACACCTATCCCATAAGCTGACGCTTGTATCACCGAAGGGTTTTGGTCCTCAAGACCTTGCACCAGGTGGTCCAAGAACAACGGTAACAGCTCCTGAGCGGCAGCTCCACAGTGCTCGATAACGTCATCAATCATACAAATTGCTTGTCCACGCAACATCGGCACAACCTTCTGCTCAAGCAACGGCTTCACAAACATTAACAAGTGCGAGTGGAACACGGGGAAAAACGCTTCCTTTTGGATCTTGATAATCCAGCCAATAGAGTCGATCATTGAGCGAAAAACACCTTCTTCCAACTCATCGTTCTCAGTCTGTTGCAAAGCAGCTTCAGCGTCATAGTCTTCATCTAGCTGGTTCTCGCGGTGCTGAGCCATTAAACGCTGAGCACTATTCGATGCTACCGTCTTTAAAATCCCCACGACACGTGGAACATGTTCTATAGGAACACCAACACTAAAACCTTTGTCTTGACTTTCCTTGCACACCTCCAACAAGGCCGACATGGCTTCAGCAAAAGCACCGAGACACTCGAGATCCTCTTCTTCTTGCAAACCCTTTAACATTGGCTCGAAACATTTCTCGAAAAGCTGCTGTGGAAATTGCGGAGCAATTGCACTGTGGCCATGATTTAGCGTACCGTCTACCGCGCAGTTCAGCAGCTTTGCCATAGTCAAGCTACTCACAATGCGAACATCTTCCACATATTCAAAGTCAATCAGCGGGATCATCACCTGCGCAACTTCAGCTACGTAAGGGTAGAAATAACCTTCCAGGTCAGATGCCGACTGGTACAACATATTACAAGCATTAGTCTTGTCTTCCAGAGCACTCGTATTCACGTCCAGTCGCTTCTTGCCTACACCCCGGATTTCTAGCGTCATTGTGTCCTTTCCATCAACGGTTTGGCCATCCTTCTCGGCATCACCTTCAGCGATATCGAATAACTGAATATCAGGCTGAATCTTGGCTTGTTTAATCAGCGCCGGAATCACGTGCGGTAGATAAGGCACAAAGTCCTCCTTTAAGATACCTCCAATACGTACGCACGATTGAGCCACGTACTGCACCTCGGGCCCTTCTAGCTCTTCACTAGACCGCACTCGTATCAAAATCTCCATAATTTCCCTTGCGTCGTTGACAAAGCGCTCTTTACCTACAGCCTGACCGATCAAAGCGATAGATTCCATCGACTTGCCACGCAGTAGAGCGTATTCTTTCCCATGTGCATTCGTCAAGACTTCTTTGGCAAGCGGGATGAAAATATCGTAATAGCGCAAGAATTCGTCACCAATCACCTTCGCTACACTGGCAACTGCAGTAATCGCTTGTTCTTGAACCTGTCGCGGACACGAACGCATGGCATGAAACAGAGCTTCTAACAGTGTTTGACTGTATGGAGTCACGTATTTGGCTTTGCACACGTTTGTGTTGCAGAAGTTGATAACTACACTTGCAGCCAAAGCGCGAGTACGCATTACAACCTGCTCGTTTTGAATCAAAGTCGTCAATGCAGGTACCACCGCAGTATGAAATTTTGCCTGGAAGTTCTTGCCCTTTTCAACTTCGCCAAAGTCATCGGCAAGTTGACCAATACTATGAAGCGCAGCGTACTGAACACGCGGGTGCTGGTCATTAAGAAAAGGTAATACCATATTCACAACATTGTCAATTTCACGGGTCATAAGCGACTTGGCGCCTTCACCCAGTAAGCAGATCGCGTAGAGTGCCGCGCGACGCTTTCGCCAATCGGCATTTTTTAGAAAGGTGGTAATAACCGGAATAGCTACGGGGAGCACAGCATTGCCACCTAATGACGAGCTGAGACGATCAATGGCAGCACTACTAGCATCACTTATGGAATCATCGGCGTCACTGGTCTCCGTGAAAGTCTCGGGGTCGTCGAACTTGTGTATCCATGTCTCATCTTCTTCAACTTCGCACATGAGCTGAAGAACAAGAGGTACTACATTCGTCACAATATATTGCGATTTGCGTACCATACCACCAGCATTTTCACATAAAGAAATAATGAATTCGAGAGCAAGTTCACGTGTCTCTGACTCGAGCTCTTGGGACGAACATACAAAGACCATAGCACGAGCCACGTCATCCAATAAAGTTCGAAAAAACTTTGGATGCGTTTCAGCAATCTGTACAAGAGAAGACAATACTTCACGAAAAGTGGCCTCTTCGCCAGCATTGACCAATGCTTCGATAATGCGCAGCATAGGAGGAATAATAATCGTAAACGCCAACAATTCCTGCTTGTCTTCCAATGTCAACAGAAAGGCAGAAGCGGCTTTTAGACTTGCAATTTGTACCTCTCCATTTCCGTCATTAAGTGCATTCGTAAAGAGCGTAAGAAAATTCTCTTTATGTGGAGCAAGCACGTCGCCAACATATTCGGCAAGCTTTGCCAATAGATCAAACGCTGTTACGCGAAGTTGTGCATCAGTGTGTGTAGTAAGCTCTGAAACGGTGCTAAGTAGCTCAGGCCACGGCTGGTCGAGTTTACACGAAATAGCGGCGAGCCCGGCGATCAAGTGGTCAAGTTTGCGACGAATGTGGGCTACAGGCTCGTGAACCACGGCTTCTAGTAGTTGAGTCTTAAGTGTATTTTGTGCAGAAGTGTCTAGCTGTGTGTAAATCTCAGCTTTTACTTCAAGCAACGGACGTAGCAGCACAGGCGCGAAGGCGCGCGCTTCAGGTTCTGGTGCCGTGCGCAATAAATGAACGAGATTGGCCACGAGTGTCTGTGGTTGCTCAGCTTTTAAAGCCTCATATGATGACTCCGCCTGCTGACGTGCCTCATTGTCATTGCTCATGAGAGCGGCGACTAATGCTTGGAAGTTCATGCTCATAAGGTAGCAACAACAAAACTGACAGTCTCCGAACCAGTCGATCAGCTGTTTGAGATATGAAGACGTAACCGGAAGGTTGTCATTAATTTTGAACCTTTTTATGAAAAAGCAAAAAACGTCAATATTGGTATACAAAGTTGTTAGGTGCATCAAATGTATACAACTGGAAGTTGGTATTTGGTATAGCATATGCACAGTACTTTTTCTATATCAGCAGCTTTATATCGAAAAAAATTATACTTTATTTATAGTGTAATGTACAGTACACTTTTAAGCTCAATTACCTTAGCGTCTTTACGGATAAAATCTACATTAATCAACTGGAAGGCTGCTGGCTTTGTGAGTGGGTACTCGAATGAAGCTTGTGCAAGACTACATTCATTTGCACAGATATATAAAAATGGTATGGACTACATAGCTATCCAAGGTGCCTTTTGATGCTGCCGTTGCAACGGGATTGTGTTGCACCTAGCACAAAGGAAGCTTTGAGTGTGGCGTCCTCTATGCGGACTCGTAGAGCTAAGGAGCTATCGTTTTAGTTAATCCTTTCTGATCTTAAGGAAATATACATATATATTTATTGAATTAAGTTTACGTAAAACAAATTGTTTCAAATACTATAAATGAGACTGGCAGCCTACGTTCGTTGCAGACCTTTATGATGGAGTCACTTTTTATCCGTATCAAATCTAATAATAGCTTCGTCATGAGGCTTTACTTCGATACTATTGATCTTACTTTAGGTCGGTCTTCGGGACAAGAAAGTAATATGTACGCGCTCAAACATTTGTCCTTCCGCGCAAAAGTGTACGCTTTACATGCCGCCCCTGCGCCGGGAATTCGCCTACCTCCCATTGCACCTAGTTATTCAACCAGAGTCTCCTCCTCATCTTACTCGCATGACTCCACGAATCTTTAAGAAAGACGCGGAGCCGTGGGAAACGATCAAATCGACAGCCCGTCATCTGTAACCCTTTTTTAGAACGTCACCCCCTTTTTAGGGGTCGTGTAAGCCATATCAAGCGCGTGCTGTAGGGTTTCTTCATAACACTCTAACCCCGCTCTACCCGGCCCGGGGATTGAACGCTGGACCTCCCGGTTCTGAAGTGAACATCATTCCACTGCACCACAGGATCGGTTACAACCCGACATCTGTACCCCAACCAAAGCCATACAACGATGCCGTTTTCGTCAAAGAAATACACTAAGGTAGGAGGCAGTTCACACTCTGCCCAGCTTCTGCACAAGTTGCGCACTCTGTAGCGTTATGATCCGCTCATCGGAGACACAACAAGGACCAGATTGTTACAGATGAGCAGGACTCAGCTAAGCTCGAGGGCCTAAGCAATTATTAATTGATTTGCTTCAGACGATATCACGTCGTGATTATTAGGCTAATCCATTTGATCCATCAAAAGTTGCCCGTTAAGACGTGGCAAAGCTCTGATGTATCTTTCGGTCAATCAGCCAGCAAAGCGTGCTGCCAACTCGTCAGAAGTCACATCTACATCCAGATTCCCCCTCAAGGACTATACCTGTGGTACTAGGTGCTGACAAAAACGCGGAAAGTACCTTACTCAATTTACGTGATGGGCGAAGAATGAGCATTGTATCATCTGTTTTACAGCTTATTGTCGGCTTAAATGATGCAGATATCAGACTACAACGTAGATTACAGTAAAACGCAAAGTACGATGTCAGTGTCGAGATAAACTGTAAACAAGCTTGCTCATTTCTATGACCCTTCTGGTACAGGTACTGGTCGAGTCTCGAGATCGGAGTAAGGTTAGCCAAGTCGTAAGCGGTAGCAGTGACGAGACAATTTTGCCGAAGTGGTGCTTTATATTTCTATAATTTCTTAACGTGAGGGTAATTCTTCCACTTCACCTGAAACTGCTTATAGCTTAGTGAGCCCAACAACGGCCCACTAACCGCGCCATTTTAAGTACGCACTTTTTTGGTATCGAGCAGAGGATGGCCTTCTTGCGTTTTGCTCTCGTGAGCTCTCCAGCTTTGATGACACATTCAGTTATTTTGAATGTATCGGTGTGTGATCGATATCTTACTTTCTATGCACTCACTGAGCAACGCTCTCGAGCCAATTGGGTTGGGATGCCCAAAGCATTTTAAAGCATGTTTGCTACCGAGACCAGTACGTGCATTAACTACTAACGATCACTACTCTGGATTTCTAAATGGCATATATGAATTGTTGAAACGATTATTTGTCCTCAGCGAGACGCTTCGTACTAGTCTGGCTTGTGAAAGTAAAATCGTGTTAGGCTTCAATAAGCTCACGTAATGCACTTACTGTATTCACATACAATATAAAATAATCCGAGTATAATTCAATCCCTTCTAACAACAGATGTGAAAGGTCAAATGTAGTGAGGTCGCACTTAGTTTTACAGGCTTCAGGCAATAATGTATGGGCTGCTAAATAGCGTTTAATCAAGCCTTTTCATGCTCAACAGATTCATGCGTGTTCTGTCTGCCTCAGTTGCTCTACAATTCATGGCACTCAACGATAGCCTCATTTACTCGCAAAAGTTGAGAATCTGATGCGCAAAACTATCGTAGATCTGCCAGAACAATAAGGCTCGATTTGCCTAATTTTCGCGCCACCAACGCCATCATGAAATGTTACATTAAAGGTCTAGCAGCCGCTTACGCTCAATAGTTTTGTATGAACTCTTGGTCTTGCTTTAGATTGTAGCGATGATATAAGCAAGTCGAATTGTATCGATAATATAATCCTAGCAAGGTCGAAGCCCCTTCGTGGTGATGTCAAGAGGACACGGAAATTAATCAAGCTACATTATTAAACCTTTGTGAAAGCGTGTATTGAACTAGCATTTCTCTTCAGAACCGCGGTCGTTTCGCGCAATTGTTTTAAGAGCATTTATATATCAAACGATTATCCCATTTCGTCTGACCATTAGATTAAACAATCATTTGTTGAGGACGTTTCAAATCTATTGCTCAGCGCTTTGTACGAGATTCAAATATTTGCTGTAGCTTGTTGATCTCGGTTCGAAACGATAGCTACTGGCTAATTTGGCGAAAAACGTTGTCGACGAGTAGAATTGCTATATCTCATGTTGATGATGACAGCACGATGGGTTTTCGGGTCCATATGATCCACGGATTTAACGAAGATACACGTACCCTTGTATGAAAGGGTGGGTCACACATAATGATGTGACCACTACGTGGCAGTACTACAAGTAGTATTGCAAATTTATTAGGTGTTACTATATTTATGAGGTAGTATATATTAGTCAAGAAAATCTCAGGTTTGGGATATTGGTGGCTCTGCCGCAACTAAAACAATTTAATACAGTTTCATTTTTTCACGGAAGAGCGTCTGTACCTTGGTTTAGGTTTTAGTTCTCTTGGAGATAGCGAATTGCGATCCGCCAAACTCAGAACATAATGTCGATGGCCTTAGTTTAGCTTCCTCTAAGCAAAAAGATACGGTAGCCCCTCTGCACTTGGTAGCACTCGTAGTCAATCTACGACTGAGTCGTTACGACTGATTCACTGTCAGGATGGAGCAAAACTCCTATTTGCCCCAGGACATGCAGGACGGGCTTAATAGGCTGATGTCCCTGCTCGGTCCTGAGGGCGTAAAACACATTATTTCGCAAGGTCACGAGGCAAAAAGCGCGCGCTAAGAGGCGTTTCAAATTATTAAATGGTCTGTTAGAGCACCTACAGCAGAAGCTGTCAACGTCGACAACATCCATGACGCCACCGTCGATGACGGATGACTCTTTTCGACCCAGACCGCTCACGGTGAGCGTTAAGACACTCGAGGGTAAGGATAAAGAAAATCTCCTGCACTGGGGAAGGGAGGCCAAGATGGCTATGGCATCCGCCATGCTCCAGAATCAGCAACAGCACATCGCGCCAGCTATCTCCAAGCTCGGGGCCGAGATCAGGAATGGGCACTAAAGTGCGGTGCATATGTTGAAGCTGCGTGTCCATCCTGAAAGGAGCTGAAGCGTCAGCTTTCGCAAGTATTCTCACCGCCTAATCAAGAAAATTGCGTGTGATTGCATTTCCTTGCTGCCCGACGGGGCAAGAAGGAGTTGGTCGACATTGTCCGAAAGTTAAGAGCTCTCATTACCGGAATGGCAGCCGATCCTCTCCCCGAGGCGGTCGCAGTGACTGTCTATATGGAGGGCCTCCGCACTGGCGTGGCCAGAATGGAAGTCTTCCGTGGGCATCCGTCTTTTTTTAAAGAGTGGCATTGAATGTCGAATTCAACTTTAAGTCGGCACGACTTGGTTGTAATGCACACGCTCAGAGCAATGGATCTCAGCTTTGCTGAGATAGAGATGGAAGAGCTTCGAGCTGTCGAGCTGTCGAGCTGTCGAGCTGTCGAACTGTCGAGCTGTCGAGCTGCCGAGCTGCCGAGCTGCCGAGCTGCTGAGCAGCGTTTAAACACTTAGCGGTGTTTTGCCTGCGGAGATACCCGTCACCTTCGAACTGGTTGTTTCCTGCGTAAGGCGCGTAACCGACGTCCCGCTTCTAGACAGTCTGGTTTGTCGTGGGGATACGACAACAGCCGGTTGGTGCCCTACTGGGAGAGAACAAAGTTCTGTTGAACCTCAAAGAAGTAGAGGGTAGCAGAGCCCAGCCCAGAAGAGCTTCGTGCTCTTGAACACTGAACGTGTGTGCAAGGCGGGGTTGCTGGTCGTGAAAGCGACCGTGAAGGGCTTTAAGAAGCCATGGAAAATCACTATCGATTCCGGGGCGTCGGGCAATTACGCTCGATACTCCAGGATCGAAAGAAGTCAGTTGTATGCTGAGGCGCCGAAAGCGTGAGTGACACCATCACTGTTACGAGGGCCCCTGTGGATCGCGGTTTCAAGCTTCTTGACTTTGATAGCGTGGGACGCTACTTGTGTAAGGTATGATCTTATCCTTGTTATGGCATGCATGGAACACCATGAGCCATGGATTGATTAGAGTTCGAAAATTTTGGGCGGTAAGCGCACGTGTCCTGGTGGAGCTTTGGTGAGTCATGTACCCACCTCTGCTAGGAAGCAGAAACGTTAATGGTTTGAGCGCTAGACCGGGATGGTCAAAGTGCTGGATGAGATGTCAACCACCGAAGGTGTATTGAACAAGAGGTTCGAGCTTGGATTGCGGGCTGAACGTGGAGTGGCACGAAGCCCACTGAGCACTGCTCACGTTACGAAGCGCTGCATGCCAGAGTGGCATGGTCGGACGAGGTCCGAGGAATCCTAGGCAAGACCCTTCTGGTGCGCGTAAAGTGGTAATTTAATAAGTGGACGAAGGATGCGGAGCTAGCAGCTCTTCGTCGGCTGTTGTTTATAACATCAAGACTCCAATGGAGCAGGGAGTGGGGACACTAGACGACGCTGAGTGCGTGTTCCCACTGGTCTTCCTGAGATGTAAACTCTCTATATAGAGGAGACGGCGATTCCGTATGTTACCTGCAAGACTCAAGGCGTCGATCCTGATCCACTGTGCGTCTATCTTAGACGATACCGCACAGCTATATACCCTTGTCAACGGTATGACGGGAGAGGAAGACGGCGAGGTTATTCTCGAGGCTATTTCAGCGATGGATGCTCTTTTTGAGCCAACGAGATGTCCTTCGAAGAGATTGGCGGTGCCTTGAAGGTAGGCAATTTAGCCGAGGTGATCATTATACGACCGAAAGAGTAGATTTACTCGTCGTCGCTTCTAATTGAAGCTGTCCTGGAAGACACTAAGAGGGTGCTGAACGCACGAAGTTAATCGTTGATTCTGAAGGATCCCTCGAATCCGTACTATCCTTTAAATAAGGAGTTTAAAGACGTCGCCCCCAAAGACCCGCCGTCGGTCCTACCTCCGGACCGAGGTCAGATCGACCTGGTCCCGGGACCAAATACTTCGTAATACGCCAAAGGCCCCTCATTGACACCTCCCGTGTAAAGCACGATGCAGGAATGGTATGTGAGAGCAAGTCTTTCCATTCGACACCCACGTTTTGTGCCCGGAAGCCGACTGGCAAGGGGCGTATCTTATACGCTTACAATAAGCTAATTGCTGCCACCATTCCGGCATAGACGCAAATTCCTAGAAAGAAAATTCCTCCAGAACAATATAGTTGGCTGTAGAAAGTACAGCGCACTCGACTTGGTTGATGGGTATCGAAAATTGCTCATGAGAGCGAGTAATGTTACGCTGACAGCGGTGAGTACTCCGATCGGGATGCTCTGGGAGTGACTGGTGATGCCCCACAGGCTGTCAAATATATCAGCAACAATTAATCGTCTGGTGACGCAATTGTTCAGGCCCCACCGGGCGTATGCACAAACATACGCTGGCGATATCTTCGCCAACAGTCGTGCAGGGCACGGTAGAACAGATGAGGAATTCCCCAACGTTCATTTGAGAGCGGTGTTCGAGTGCACGCGCAGGAATAAGCTCTATGCTAATGCAGATGAGTGCATCTTCGGCGCTGAAGAAT